AAATAAAACATCAACTATTTAAGTAAAATAAAAGGAAATTGCATATCGCAAAATAAATACAGGTCATTTCTCTATGAAAAAGAACTTTTGTTTTCAACCAGGTCGAAATAAGTACACAATTGTTGTTTGGTTCTATTTTATGTGATTGTTTAATTCTTGTCGTTTAGTATTTTACACACATTATTTTTTTTTAATTATGATTTTTTTTCAATTTCAGAACTGAAGAATTTTTTGTAAAATTATTATTTCATTCTTTTTTCAGAGGTGGACCTTCTTTTTTCACATTACTTAAATATCTTACATTTGGTTTTAATGAACTTTGCCATTCTCTAAAGCTAAGAAATGCAGCTATAAAAATAACTTTGTAGCTTCACCTTACCGTCTGGGAAATATTAAGCTTTCAAAAGCAAAATTAAGGATTTTTGTAAGGAATTTTTTTCAAAATTTTTACTTTTAAATCTAGGAAAATTCGACAAAAAATTATATTTTGTGTCTTTATATTTTTTGTGTATAAGTTTATTAATAAGGCGTCGTTTAAAGTATTGTTTATTAAAATCTGTGGAGAAACAGCTGAGCTAAAATTGGTGGACCAACCCTGTGAAAATCACATTTTACCGATTGAAATGTTGGTGGCCCAACGTTTTGTATTGTATTGTTTGTTTATTGTATTTCCTAGTGCAACAAGCAAGGGGCTTATAATTAGAGCACTAGTCACTAGGTGTCACATTAGTTTTTTATTAAACTTAGAGCTAAATGAATCTTTTAATATGACATTAGGCTGTGCCAAAATTTGACCAACAAATTTTTTTATTTTTTTCAAGGTGACACCCCCCAATTCTGTTCTTTGTTATTTAATAAAATTATACATTTTTTTTCAAATTTTTAGTTTAATGTTTGGGGGTTGCTACCACGAAAAGAAAATACAGCTTTTTGGTTAAGCCTAGTACTCAGATCGGAAAAAACACCTAGCAAACATAATCAGGGTTTATATATTATATATTATAATATTATATTTTTATTAATTTTCATAAATATAAAACAAATATTGCTTTCAAATTAGTTTGTCTTCTTGGTGGTCGGCACGGGAGGCGTCGCCATCTGCTGCTGCTGATAGTCAGACACATTACCTTGCCAATAAAATATTGGGGAGCCCAGGATATGCCTGGGGAAGAGCGGCCCCAGCCGAAGAAGTGCATTTTTTAACTTTAAACAAAACCAAGCAGCGGTCTGAGCAGTGTAACCGTTCGGAATGCAGTGCACACCTCTGGTCACACCACTGGTCGTTCGAAAAATATATGACATCTGTTTGCTAGCAAACAGTTTTTCGATCTGAGTACTAGGCTTTATATATACATTGTCACGGAACGGTTTAGCTTTAACGATTGATAGTATTCGCATCTAGTATTTCTGAAGAGATTAGGTATTTGGGTGACCTGCGGTCACATTAAAGTTAAGAAGTCAAGCCATGCTTCCCGCTTCGGGTTATTCCGATTGACGAGACCAAGAGAGTAGGAGGAAAGACTGCGGTATGTAGTAACTAAATAGTTGAGGTTAGACCTAAGCCAATGTATTTCACCCCTACAGAATAAAACACACACGCACATATCATTTACGCTACGAGATCTGGTATTCTTGTTTCGGTGTCGATATATTGAAGTGTTGAAAGCAAATCCTACGCGGTCATCGTCGGTCGGCGTCATTTCTTTTATTCGCACTTCCATCGCACTCCTTTATTTGCGTGCTTCTTGGGATCGCACATTAGCATGTCGACCACACACTCGCCCAGGCGGAGCCCTTGAATTGGAAAGAGCGGGGCTACCGCAGCTACGACGACCACAGCCGCATCAACTGACGGCCCGATCGCCATCGTGAGTACGGCTGGTGGATCGAAGCAGCGGCCACAGACTCCTAAGGGGAGTGGGACACAAGGAAAGAATCCGAGTGGTGCTGTACAGCCTGACGGATCAGGCCAGAGCACAAATCCCACCAACGTCCAAGTTGCTGCACTGACGCAGAGGATCGCCATCTTGGAGAAGGAGCTGGAAAAGGCAAGGGCAAGTAAAAGGAAAGAGGCAGCCGCAAGGAAACCCGTTGGAAACGGAGTTAGTGTTTGGTGGAAGAGCGGCAGATACTGAGTGCAAATCTACCGCAATGTTCGAGTGAGAATCTGATGCCAGATTTATCCGAGAGAGTGACGCCATCTTTAGATGCACAGTTGCCGTTCCAATTGAGTGGAAGTTTGCCGCCACAATTGAGTGGAAATTTGGCTATAAGGCGACAAGTCACACTGAGCACAAATTGTACAACGATGAGCTACTCCACGCCATATTGTGTTACGGCCACGGTGCTGCCAGAACAAAGTTACGTGCAGGCACTACGTGAGCCACAACACAACTTTATGATGCCCACAAATCCGCTTGGGTCATATGGAGCACCATCGCCTACCTTGTCAAATGGATGAACGCCGCGTCGATTGCCTGATCTTCCTGAGTTTGAAGGTCAGCCAGAGGAATGGCCTATATTCCAATGCGCGTTCATGGAGACAACGGCAGCGTACCACTGTATAGCGCTGGAGAACAACCAAAGGCTAGTCAAGGCTCTGAATGGTGAAGCGCGATAGTCAGTTAAATCGCTGCTCATAGCAGCTGAAATTCCGATATGGACGTCCAGAGCAACTGATACGTAGCCAGCTGGAGAGCGTGCGAGATGTACAAGCAATTCAGGAGCACAATCTAAGCAAGCTTGTGCCATTTGCTACAAGAGTCAGCAATCTCGCAGCGTTCCTACGGTCAACCACCGACGGAGTCCAGCACTAGAGTAATCCTACCCTGATGGAGGAGTTGATTGCTAAGTTGCCCCTGAGCAAAAGGTTGGACTGGGTTAGGTATGCTGCAGCAATAGGATCGTACCCAACGGTCTTGCACTTGAGCGAGTGGCTGAATGATCTCGCCAAACTGGTGTGTACGATCACGGATGTCGGGAGCAAGGATCCCAAACGACGGGTACTGCATGCTAGCACAATTCATATGGATCAGCAGTGGCACAACGACCGCACCAAATGTTTCCCAATATGTGAAGGGCAGCACACGATCTAGGACTGCAAGGATTTCATCCATGCTTCTCCAACATCCCGAGTTGAGTTGGTGAGGGAGCATCGGGTCTGTTTCTTATGCCTGGAAAGTGGACATATGGTCAGGTTCTGCAAAAGGGACAAGAAGAAGAAGATGCCAGAGAAATCATCATTACCTACTGCACGACGGATTGGACAATCCCAGACGGCCACTACACTCATACAATGGGCCACGGAGGAATCAACAAGGTAATCGCAAGCGATCACTGCATAACGGCGGTGGTCAACAGAGGGATGACCCACAAACATCGCAGCCATCGGATCCGACCCCGAGGAGGCCCCTAGACGAAAAGCAGGCGCCAAAGGACGGCCCTGAAGTCGCACACCGGAACCTAAGCTGTGTCGGTTCGGATGGAGGTCATCTACTATTCCGCATCTTGCCCGTGACTCTGTACGGGGAAAACAAGCAAATGGACACCTACGCCCTGTTCGACGAAGGCTCGTCCGTAACAATGATGGATGACAGACTCGCGCATAGCCTAGACCTGAAGGGCAAGAGTCGACAACTGAACATTCAATGGTTTGGCGGGAAGGGAACGCACAATGGGAACGCGAAGATGGTGAGCTTGCAGATTAGCGGAACTGGGAAACCAAAACGCCATGGGCTAAGGAATGTGTACGCGGTCTCGGATTTGAATCTACTGGTCAACATCGAGAGGAAACTGCGGCGTGATGCGAACTTCGCGCAGCCATACAATGGAATCATGGATGACTACGTCAAGAAGGAATACGCACGACGGCTAGAGCAGCAGGAAGTCACTTCAGTCAACAGTGACAAGGTCTGGTACCTGCCGCACTTCGGGGTCGAGAACCCAAACAAGCCCGGGTGTTTGGTGTTTGGTGTCTGGTGTTTGATGCGGCCGCCAAGGCTAGTGGCGTGTCCCTGAATTCAGCTCTGCTTAAAGGTCCACAGCAGTACAAATCGCTCCCAGCCGCGCTCTTCCACTTTCGGGAAGGAGCAGTGGGAGTATGCGCAGACTTCAAGGAGATGTTTCATCAGGTGTTGATACAGCCACAGGACAGTTGTGTCCAGAGATTCCTGTGGAGGAATGGAGACGACCGGCGGGATCCAGACCTGTACGAGATGGAGGTGATGACGTTCGGAGCCACATGTTCGCCGTGCTCAGCGCACTACGTCAAGACCCTAAATGCCTCAGGGTACCTCCGTACAGATCCCCGCGCGGTGCTGGCCATCAATGAGTACCACTATGTGGACGACTACGTGGATAGCTTTGCAGACCAGAAAGAAGCTATTGCTGTATCAACACGGGTAAGAGAAATTCATGCTAACGCTGGTTTCGATTTGTGCCGGTTCTCTTCCAGTTCGGAAAGTGTGGTCAAGGCTTTGAACCCACAAGGATCCAATATGAATGTTGAATGCACCGAAGCTGAGGAGAAGATACTGGGCATGTTCTGGCAGCCGGCTACAGATGACTTCAAATTCATTGTCAAGTACCATCGGGTGGCCAGCAGCGTGATGACAGGGGAACGTGCCCCCACCAAAAGGGAGTTCCTAAGCCTCGTCATGTCTACCTTTGACCCGATCGGATTCTTGAGCTGCTACCTGGTGACCGCCAAAGTTCTGATGAGAGAGATTTGGCGGAGAGGAGTGGACTGGGACGAGCCGCTGCCAGCAGAATTGGCCACAGCGTTTGAGAGCTGGCGGCTAGGGATGAGCTACGTGAGAGGATTCCGATGTCCGCGCCACTATTTTGTCGTCGGATTCGTGCGGGATCTGTAGTTGCACGTCTTCGTGGACTCAAGCCAATCGGCGTTCGCTGCGGTGGCTTACTGGAGAGCCACATATGATTACGGCAATGTGCAGGCACATTTTGTATGTTCCAAAACGAAATGTGCCCCGATGAAGACCATGTCGATACCACGACTGGAACTTCAAGCAACCGTACTGGGAACGAGACTGATGGACACCGTAAAAAGGGAGCACGGTGTATCGATCAGCAGCTGCGTACTCTGGACCGACTCCAAAACGGTTCTGCACTGGATAAGCAGCACCCACCGGCGTTACAAGCAGTTCGTTGGAAACCGGGTGGCGGAGATCCTGGAGTCCACAGAAGTATCCCAATGGAGATGGATACTGTCCGCTGAAAACGTGGCAGACGATGCGACGCGGCCGCAAATCCACGTGGATCTGGATCAAGGATCACGTTGGCTAAGTGGGCCTCCCTTTCTACGGGAACCTGAGGAGGAGTGGCCGATTTCTTCTTCGGGTGATGGTGGCTACCCGCGAACCGCGGATGAAGAAGAGATGCCATGTGAGTTTGCGCTGGTTATAGCAAACTCCTTTATATCTTTGCAGAGGTTCTCAAGCTACTACCGATTGGTCAGGGCCACTGCCTGGGTCCTCCGGCTTATCCGACGGTGTCGCGGACACCGTGAGAAGAGCGACGAATACGGGCTAACTGCGGCTAAGTGCGCCGAGGCAGAGCGCATGCTGATCCGGCTGGCGCAAAGTGAGGCGTTCGCTGAGGAGACGCAACGGAAGACTGTCACAAATGACAGCCAATTACGAGGGCTGTCGCCATACGTCGACGAAGATGGAGTCATACGTGCGTGTGGAAGGATCGATGCGGCCGCGTGCATGCCATTCAGTGCGCGGCGCCCGATCATACTGTCGCACAAACACGCACTGGCAGAGATGATCGTCGGTCATTACCACGATAAGATGCGGCATCAAAACCTGGATGCGACCATATGCGAGATCCGGAAGAGGTTCTGGATAACCAACTTGCGGAGGTTACTACGGAGGATAGTAACCAATTGCCACATCTGCAAACTACGAAGAGCACGACCAAGACAGCCAATGATGGGTCCCTTGCCAGAGGACCGGCTCGAGGCCAATGGATGGCCATTTAAGTATACCGGCCTGGACTATTTGGGGCCGCTGATGGTGACGTTTGGACGTCGAACGGAGAAGAGGTAGGTCGCACTATTCACCAGTCGTGGGCCATCCACTTGGAAATGGCACATGATTTGTCGACAGATTCGTGCATCATCGCGATAAGGAACTTCATGTGCTGCCGTGGACCTGTGGTCAGGATGAGAAGCGACAACGGAAAGAATTCGTCGGAGCTGACAGAGAGGCCAGGAAATTCGACGAAGTCTTCGAACCGGAGAAGATCCAGGGCGAACTGTCGTCCAGAGGAGTCGAATGGATCTTCAACTGTCCGGCAAACCCAGCTGAGGGAGGCGTCTGGGAGAGAATGGTCTAGTGCGTCAAGAAGGTGCTGGCGCATACTGTGAAGGAGGTGGCTCCTAAGGAGCACGTGCTGGCAAGCTTCCTGATTGAGGCGGAAAACATTGTCAACTCGCGTCCGCTCACACACTTGCCAGTCACGGTTGATCAGGAAGCCCCATTGACACCGAACGACCTGCTGAAAGGAGCAGCCGGCGTACCGGACCTTCCAGGAGACGATGGTCAGTCGCCTAAGAAGTTCGCCACAAGGAAATAGTGGCGGATTGTCCGGATAATGAGAGATCGGTTCTGGAAACGCTGGGTACATGAGTACCTACCTACACTTGTACGCAGGGAGAAGTGGTGCGAGCACGTCGAGCCAATGCGTCGTGGAGATCTCGTGTACGTATGCGATCCTGCCATACCAAGGAGAGAATGGAGGCGAGGCATCGTTGAGGAGGTGTATGCTGGAGTGGACGGAGTACCACGACGAGCGGCGGTGCGCGTGGCCAGCGACGATCGATCCAAGCTTATGATGCGTCCCGTCTCCAAGTTAGCTGTACTGTACGTGGTGAATGCAGCTGCGTCACGGGGATCGGGATGTCGCGGAACGGATTAGCTTTAACGATCGATAGTATTCGCATCTAGTATTTCTGAAGAAATTAGGTATCTGGGTGACCTGCGGTCACAATAAAGTTAAGAAGTCAAGCCATGCTTCCCGCTTCGGGTTATTCCGATTGACGAGACCAAAAGAGTAGGAGGAAAGACTGCGGTATGTAGTAACTAAATAGTTGAGGTTAGACCTAAGCCAATGTATTTCACCCCTACAGAATAAAACACACACGCACATATCATTTACGCTACGAGATCTGGTATTCTTGTTTCTGTGTCGATATATTGAAGTATTGAAGGTCATCGTCGGTCGGCGTCATACATATATTAAAAAAAAATTGATTTCGTCGGTTTTTTCAAATAATATTGAAACTTAGAAACTAGTTCATATTGATAATAAGGTGTTTTTATTTTATTTTTATAGTTACTGTTAAACAATTAATAATTGGTGAAAATCAGGAAGTTCAGCTGAGGTTGATATATTTAGTTAACTAGTTCGCAAAAACTTTTGCAGGTTTATTACTGCCAATAACTGATTAATGAAGATATGAATGGTATTAATATATATGCAATAGATTTCACCAATTACACTACTCGACAAAATTAAACTTTTTATTTAGGCTGTGAACCAAAATGACTTTTTCTGATAGATTTCGGGATTTAAAAATTTTTGTAGTACTTTATTATTTTTTATGGTGTCATTTTATTTTAAAGAATTTTTAAAATCTGGTATTTATTTTCTTGGTTTTTTTCAGAGGTAGTGCTTCTATTTTTCACATAACTTTAGTATCTTATATCTTGTTGCATAGTTCTGAAAAGCTGACAAACGCAGCTATAAATCCGACTCCGACCTTTTGTATCTGCAGCTTAACGCCTGGAAGATATTAAGCTTTCAAATGCAAATTTCATCATTTTTTGCGATATTATTTTTCAAAATTTTGACTTTTAAAACTCGGGAAAAGTCGAAAGAAAAACAATTCTTGGCCAACATTATTAGTTTTAGATAGACTCATTAATTAGGCGTCGTTGAAGGCATTGTTCATTAAAATCTATGGATCAACGGTAGAGCTTAAATTCGTTAAACGATACCTTTAACGACGCCAAATTAATGCACCTATACACAAAAAAATAGAGGACACAGGATATAATTTTTTTTCGACTTTTCCTGAGTTTTTAAAGTCAAAATTTCGTAAAAAATACCGCACGATAATCATCATTTTTGCATTTCAATGCTTTATATTTCCCAGACAGGGAAGCTGAAATCACAAAGTGTTTGAGCTCAACTTCTAACTGTTTTAATTATCTTTTCAAAATAGCAAACCAGACGTAAAGGTATTGCATTATGTAAAAAACAAGTGCTCCTTTGAAAAGCTTAAAAAAAATACCAGACATCAAACATTCTTAACAAAAAATTTTGCCATGAAGAGAAACCTTAATTACTACGACAAATTGTAAAGCCCCATATCTATCAGAAAAAGTCGGTTTGGATCCTTGAGGAAAAAAAAGTTCGTTTTGTCGACTAGTGTTATTAAAGCACACGCTTAACTTTTGCCTGTTTGCGTAGCCCCACAGTTTCCAAATGCCTCAATCCCATAAGTGAGTACAGGTACTAGGTATGCTTTTGCTATTTGCATCCGGATTCTTACTGGTATAAATTGCTTGGTAATATAAAGTGCTCTTAAAACCATACGTAGATTTTTTTAGAGTTATGTTTATGATAAAGCCTAAATTAGTTCGCTACCTCTGCAGCTAATGGGAGTGTTAAATAATTCTACACGTCTTAATATGGTTTCATTTATTTTTTCTTGTTTTGTATATAATCAAGCATTTTGACTTCGTTGGGTTTAAGATAGACGATTGTTGGTTGCCCACGCACTAATTTTCTCAAGCTCTCGTATTGGTAACATTTATACACCAAAACAGTTCGGTTTAACGGTCGACTTACGTATAATTGGACGTCATCGGCGTACATGTGCACTTTACAGTCGGACTGTTGGCAAATCATTTATATAAATTGAGAACAATAACGGGCCAACTACTGATCCCTGTGGGACACCACACTTAACATAGGCAAAGGACGACATTTTCCCTTCAGCAACAACAGCCTGGCTCCTATTTAGCAGATAGGACGATAGCAACCATACTGCTGAGTCAGAGAAGTTGTAGGATTCGCGAAGCTTTGCGATGAGGGTGCGATGGTCAACTGAGTCAAAAGCTTTAGTGTAGTCAAGAAGAGTTAGGAACGTTACATTTCCGTCGTCCATTCTTTCACGGATTTCCTCTACAATTTGTATCATTGCAGTTGTACAACTTCTATTTATTCTGAATCCAGATTGATTGTTATTTAGTAATGTGTGCTCTGTAAGAAATGAATTTATTTGTTCAGCTACCAAGGTCTCGAACGCTTTTGACAGGGTCGGGAGTATGGATATTGGCCTATAGTCTGCAGAGTTTGCTTTTGGGATAGGGATTATTTTAGCCTCCTTCCACTTTTCCGGGAACGTTGATGTGGTAATGGCTGTGTTGAAGATGTGAGTAACTTGCATGATGATTCTAGGGAGTATTATTCTCAAAAATTTCGGGTTCATATCGTCTAGGCCAATAGCATTTGATTTAATCTTAAGAATGGATTCTAGAACATCACAAGGACTAACACAACAGAAACTAAAGCTAGAACAGTATAATTATAGGGCGCTGATGTCAAGTTCAGGGTTGGTGGTGGGTCCGGTACAACTAATTAAATTTTTTGCTAACTTCATTTACGTCCATGTTAACTAGCGAATTTCTTGTTTTTTTTGCCAATCCTATACTTTTAATCATTTGCTTTTTCTGCTTACTACACAGAGTGTTGTTAAACTTTGACGAGTAGAAGGCGGTCTTGGCAGAGTATATTAGTTTAGTTACGCCTGACCTTAATGATTTGTACATATTAAAGTGGCTTTCAGTCTTGTATCTTTGAAATTTTTTAAAAGCCTCATTTCGTTTGATGATACCCAGCTTTATCTTCGGGTTGAACCATGAGTTATCTGTTCGTTTGACTGTAAAGATAGTCAATGTTTGATTGAAGTTGGGCAAGTTGAGAATTTACAGACAACATATAATGTATTGATGTCCAGTCAAGAATGCCATTGTCAGTGTGTAGTTTTTTAAGGTCAATGTTCTTGAAGTCACTGTAAAAGGTGTCATAGTTATGGTAGTCAGGTTTAAAATCATAGGTCAAGAAAATAAGGTCATGTTTTGAATATCCTGGTGCTGTGAGTTGGTCATATAGTAGAATTTTGTCAGTACTTTCGACAAAGAATAGGTCTAGTAGTGTGTTTCTGGTTTTTGTAAAGTGTGTGGGGAGCTGGTGGTTCACTATATTTAAGTCAAGGCTCAACATGCTATCTGTTAATGAGGATTCTCTAAGAATATCACAATTAAAGTCACCTGCTAGGATTACGTCTGTATAAGTCAAGGAAATGTCAGTAATAAGTGATGTCAGGTCTGAGTAGTCAATGTTTCGATTTGGTCGATATATGCAACCAAGAAGCATCTTTCTTCTATTGATGGTGATCGTTAGAAATATGTATTCTATGGCACTATCTGGTCTTTGCTTACAGTGGAGTTTTGCGGATATCTTATTATTTATGTATATTGCAACGCCCCCGGCATGCCCTACACGATCAGAACGAAATACATTGTATCCACTACATTAAATTAACGAGTCACTTAATCCGGGGACATACCAAGTCTCGGACACACATATAACATCCGTCAATTTTTTTTGTCAAGCTTTGTGCATTGATATGGCAGATTTGCAGACCCGATTTTTGCTTCACCGGAATTCTGAGGACCTGAGATGTATTCACATTGGTTATTTCTAATGAACCGTCCACATCAAGTGTGTTTTAACACAACAAAGAATTTCATTACAGTAAATACAGTTAAGGGCCAACTACAAAATAAAATACAGGAATGTGGTTAGATTGGTAATACTTATAGCTAACATGAAAAATTTGCCTATAGTTCTATTATTGACGAAACGAGCTATTCTCGTCTCCAGCTGCAAGACTTTCATAATTTTTACTCAGAAACTGAAGCTCATATATTAACAAAACACATAACGTTGATAAGAAAAATGTACCACCTTTCACAGGATTTTTTATTCGTGGTGAAAGAATGGATATCCGTGAAGATATCAACAAAATAAGCTACTAAAAAATAAAATTGTCTAAAGAATGCCAACAGTACGATTTTTTTTAAGTGTACTCGGGTTTTATATATCACCAAGCCCTTTGTGTTTGTAAAATTCAACTTTCAAAACGGTGAAATATGATTTTCGAAGGGTCGATCAACCAATTTTAGCACAGCCGTTTCTCCAAAGATTTTAACGAACAAAACTTTAAACGACGTCTTATTAATGCACCTATATGGATACAGGATATAATTTTTTTTTAACTTTTCCTGATTTTTTAATCTCAAAATTTTGATGAAAAAAAATGTCTTTTAGCAATTAAAAACCCCGAAATCTAAAAAAATTTGTTTGGTTCGAAGCTGAAAAATTGTGTGGGGAAGTGTAATGTGTAGATAAAGCTCAATTGACATTAATTAAGTTCAGATGACAGCTAGCTGAAGTATTGATCGAGCATTTATGAATTGGTACAGTCCATACAAATAAAACAAAAAAGTCAACTAAACTATTAATCATTTCAAACAAGATCTTATTAGATTTTGACCTGTCATGAAAATAAAATTATCACTGCTTCTGATCACTGCAAAGAAATTAATTCCTAAACTTAGTATTACGGAATCATCTACCCTTTTAAAATTATATGTAAAAAACATATATATTTGAAACTTAATCTTATCTTAAAGTTGAGCGTAAAGTAAATTTTTTTATTTTTAGAAATGGTCGACCCGGCTCAGTATCAGTTTCCGAAAAATTTAGAATAGATTGGGGAACATATATGTCATCACGAAATGATGTTATTTATGTCCGCCTGGATGTTAGAGGAGCAAAAGGTCAAAGCAAGAAATCTCTGTATCGTCATTTGGGAGGAGTTGAAGTTGTAGATCAAATATCTGTCCTAAGGTTCGTAGCTAATAAAAACAAGCATTCAAAATATTATATTAATTTTTTTCATTTAAGATACCTGTTAGACACCATTAGTTTTCTAGATGAAACCCGTGTCGGTATATGGGGATGGGGCTATGGGGGCTATGTTACCTCTATGGTTCTTGGCACGCAACAGGATGTGTTTAAGTGTGGAATTTCTGTATCCCCTATTGCAGATTGGCTTTATTACAGTAAGAAAAACAAAAATATAAAGAACAAAACACTATAAAATATTATCTAATTAGATTCAGCTTTTACTGAGCGTGTTCTGGGATTGCCTGCTGAAAACTATAAAGGATACGTTGAAGCTGATGCAACGCAGCGTGCTCGTCTGATAAAATCAAACTCTTTTTTTTTGATTCACGGCTTGGCCGACTCAACTGCTCCTTATGTACATGGAGTGCAGCTAGCTAAATCATTAACAGACGCAAATATTCTATATCGGTACCAGGTAAAATCTTGAACATATAACTATTAATCAAACAATATGTTTTTTTTTTTGTTAAAATATACATACATTTCAGACCTATGCTGATGAAGGTCACGACTTAAATGGAGTACTTGAGCATGTATATTCATCTATGGAGCATTATTTTGCAGAGTGTTTAAGCTTGGATCCGGATGACACAAAACCGGACATAGATCAAAGCATGGTTCCAGCCGAATAAAAAGTAATAATAAAATATGTAAATAGACTAGTATTAATAATGCACGGACTCATAGCTAATGAATATAAAACTTTGAAGGTCGTGACAATATTGAATTTAATCGGAAACGAAAATTTTACTTTGGATGTCTATGTCCCATCTCAACAGATTTTTAAATATTCAATTATCTTTTTTTTTATTACATTACACTATGTAACGCAAGGATAAATCCAGAGATTTGGATTTTAATATATTTTATTAGTATATTTTAGGAAACGTTATCTTTGGAAATGTTTGTAACACTTTACCTTTACTTTTGTAACCTTTACATTGTTCTTTCCACATAGTACTCTAATATTAATAGCTCGGTTTAACTAAGATATTAAAAAAACACATACTGTAAAGTTACATTCGACGTTCCTGCTTACCTGTTAATTTGTCGTTTGATTGACACAAATCAGCTTAAAGACTAGTACTCAAATATTCTGGGGTGCGTAATCTTCATTACGTAAACACTGTCAAAATTCATTCGGAAATTCATTTATTAAATAACAAAAAAAAACAGTCTTGACTTTGGGAGTCGCGGCACACATGATTCAACACTATACATATATAACCGGAGTCAATTTATTCCTTTTTTCTCTATATACATATTCGATACATGTAATACATACATATTATGTATGTACATACATATATACAGCGCCGTGCCGAGAGAAATTTGCAGCCCAGCAGGTGCAAACATTCCGGCGGCACCCCGTTTTTTAACAAAAGATAATTCATTAAAACACATAACAAAAATGACAATTCCATTGTCAAAATTAAAACGAAATTAAATAAATTTTACAACAATTAAAACCGTACTTTCCTAGCTGTTGAAGAAGCAAAATCATCTTTTATTTTTAAAAATTTTTGTATTCTCATATACAATACTCGATCGAAAAGAAACTTGGACGGCTAATTCGCTCCCGTCCCATTGAAGCAATTACTGTCTGTACGTTTCGCGGAAACACATTCTCGTTGCATGGATAATTTCAGGCTTAAGCTTATATACAGAGTACTTGAGTGTATAAAATAGCGACTATCTGGTTCATGATGCATCTATACAGGGGGTCTCATCGCGACCCCTGATTTCTTTTGAGGAAGATCCGTTTTCCAGTTGTTGTCAACCGTCGCGACGGTACGCGGAAGGACGATGATACGATGAGAGAAAAGTTCCTTACAACGAAATGTATGATATTTAAGTTATGTGAAATAAAATAGCGCTACCTCTGAAAAAAGCTTTAAAAAATACGATTTTTCAAAAATTCTTCCAAAAAAGTTCTGACAGGAAAAAAAAACATAAAAAAATTTTAAGCGCTCAATCTATCAGAAAAAGTCGGTTTGGTTCGAGGTAGAACAAATAGTTCAGTTTTATCGAGTAGTGTAATTAGCCGTAAGCCATATATAATTAGGATAAGATAGGGACACCCGTTGTAAATATGAAACCAGTAGATAGGAATTTATTTTAAGGATAAGGAGGCCACATTATAGTTTAAAAGATTGTGGTCGAGAAGGCCATACTATTATATTTTTCGTAGGATTAGGGACGCCCTACAAATTATCCGAACCAAAGCTTAGAGGGAGAAAGAGGGAACAGCCCAAGCAACGACGCAAGAGAGAGCTAAGCGAAGACGAATGCGATGCAACGACGCAAGGGAGACTGGCAGAGCCGAAACTGGATCACACTGCCGCATAGGCAGTGTTGTGAAATAAAATAGCGCTACCTCTGAAAAAAGCTTTAAAAAATACGATTTTTCAAAAATTCTTCCAAAAAAGTTCTGACAGGAAAAAAAAACATAACAAAATTTAAAGCGCTCAATCTATCAGAAAAAGTCGGTTTGGTTCGAGGTAGAACAAATAGTTCCGTTTTATCGAGTAGTGTAATTAGCCGTAAGCCATATATAATTAGGATAAGATAGGGACACCCGTTGTAAATATGAAACCAGTAGATAGGAATTTATTTTAAGGATAAGGAGGCCACATTATAGTTTACAAGATTATGGTCGAGAAGGCCATACTATTATATTTTTCGTAGGATTAGGGACGCCCTACAAATTATCCGAACCAAAGCTTAGAGGGAGAAAGAGGGAACAGCCCAAGCAACGACGCAAGAGAGAGCTAAGCGAAGACGAATGCGATGCAACGACGCAAGGGAGACTGGCAGAGCCGAAACTGGATCACACTGCCGCATAGGCAGAGCCACCCTCTGCCATCAGAGAGGGAGGAAATCAAATTAATAGAGCCGCGCTTCGGCCGGCTCGAGAGCTACTTTCCTCGCATCTCTCCCCACCTCCCACCAGCCGGTACCTGCAGGGCGTTTGAGGCTCCTCGCAGCACGCTGTAGACCCACCCAGTAAGATTGGTAGTGCATAGCAAGATTCTCCTTCCTCTTTCACCCACCAACAAGTCCCCTGCACGTATGAGGCTATCCGCCGCGTGTGGAGACTTGCTTGGTATTCCTGTATCCTTCCTTTACCTACCCCACCCATCCTCCGCCACAAGTTTCCACCGCATATGAGGCTACTCGCCGTGCGAAGTGGTTCCCATGGTTAAGTATATCTACATATATATAAAAATGGAGAAATAAAAATGTATAGTGCTTCATCACGTGAGAAAGGCTGGGCAGATTTGGTTTAAATTTGTATACAGTTGTTCGTATTTGCCGAAGAATGTTTCTACGTAAGAAAAAAAACCGATCGCGGAAAAAATTGATTTTTAGAACGGCTGCGACGATTTGGCTCAAATTTCGTTCAGTTGTTCGTATTTGGCAAAAGAATGCTTTTACGAAAGAAAATTTAGGAAAAACCAACCTACGATCGTGATTTTTTATTTGTTTCTTTGATGAAAGTAGGCGAAGCGCCAATTACACTACTCGACAAAATTTAACTTTTGATTTAGGCTGTGAACCGAAATGAATTTTTCTGATAGATTTCGGGATTTAAAAATTTTTGTAGTACTTTATTATTATACCTGTACTCAAAAAAGAGTTAAGGGGTATATTAGATTTGTGGTAAAAGTGGATGTGTGTAACGCAGAGAAGGAAACGTTTCCGACCCCATAAAGTATATATATTCTTGATCAGCATCAATAGCCGAGTCGATATAGCCATGTCTGTCTGTCCGTCCGTCCGTCCGCCCGTCCGTCTGTCCGTCTGTCCGTCTCGATGAGCGCCTGGATCTCAGAGACAATAAGAGCTAGCGAAACCAAATTTGGTTTCCAGACTTATGTGATATCACACTGCTACAAGTGTATATCAGAATTTCGCCCCGCCCCCTTCCGCCCCCACAAAGGACGAAAATCTGTGGCAGGCACAATTTTAAAGATACGATACGATACGATACCACCCAGTAAGATTGGTAGTGCATAGTATATGTATCATTTTATTTTAAAGAATTTTTAAAATCTGTTATTTATTTTCTTGGTTTTTTTCATAGGTAGTGCTTCTATTTTTCACATAACTTTAGTATCTTATATCTTGTTGCATAGTTCTGAAAAGCTGACAAACGCAGCTATAAATCCGACTCCGACCTTTTGTATCTGCAGCTTAACGCCTGGAAGATATTAAGCTTTCAAATGCAAATTTCATCATTTTTTGCGGTATTATTTTTCAAAATTTTGACTTTAAAAACTCGGGATATTTCTTGGCATGCATTTTTAGTTTTAGATAGACGCATTAATTAGGAGTCGTTTAAGGCATTGTTCATTAAAATATTTTGATAAACGGTCAACTTGCAGCCGTTCTACCAAAATGACTCATAACTAATTTTACCTGAAAAATACCGGTTCTGGTCCAATGCCAAAGTAACACGTTCAGGTACCAAAAATTCAACCCTTTTTCGTTTGCTTTGTTGTTGGCAGTTGGGCCCGAAACCTTCCAAAAAGTATTTGTTCGGTCTTTCAGCCGAGCATTATTTAGTATTTTTAGTCAGTGGTGCAGCCTTAAAGTAACAAAGTAACAATTGGCAGTTGGACCCGCAACCTTCCAAAAAGTATTTGTTCGGTCTCCCAGCCGAGTATTATTTAGTATTTTTAGTCAGTGGAGCAGCCTTAAAGTAATTCCTGTTATTTGTTCGTTATTTGCACTGCCCACTGTACCTAATTGTAATCGACATGTATCTACACCCGCCCCCTCACTGTAATGGCCGTTTCAACCGTTCTTTCGTCTCTTCGTTTCGCACCTTTCTTTCTATCGCCTTTCGAAATCACTCTCTCGATCTATCAGCTCTCTCGTTCTCTCGAACACTCCCTCGCTCTCTATTTCGTAGCATCGCGTAGGGCACGGGCAATTCGGTCCGTCTGCCCTAAAATGCCTTCGCTATGGTCATGATCTGGTCTAGCACTTGCAATCGCTCGCACTTTTTTTTCATCGCATATATAAACACGAATCGCGGTTTATATATGCATCTAGCTTTCTTCTTTCTTTCGCCTTCGCTATCGGTATCTTCAACTATCTTTCCCTCACTTGTATTAGGGCACGGGCAATTCGGTCCGCCGGCCCTTAGTAAAGTCTTGACGTAGCACTCGTACCTGAAACATCGTCGCCTAATCGACCTAATCGACAAGAATAAACATATTTGTATAATAATCTGTTCGTGCCGTTTTGTTGTAAATAAAGGTGATACATTTGGTATCCTCCTTTAAACACTATTTTTTTGTCAATTTTTTTCATTTTTGAGGTTCTGTTAACGAATTTTAACTCCACCGTTTATCAATAGATTTTAATTAGCAATAACTTAAACGACGTCTAATTAATGCGTATATCTAAAACTAAAAATGCATGCCAAGAATTATTTTTTTTTCGACTTTTCCCGAGCTTTTAAAGTTAAAATTTCAAGAATAAAATACCGCAAAAAATTATTTGAATTTCAAATTTCGTTAAGCTGCAGATACAAAGTATCTGGTCGGATTTAAAGCAGCATTTGTCAGCTTTTTAGAACTGCAAAGTTCTATGCAACGAGATATAAGATACTTAAGTTATGTGAAAAATAGTTAATACTTAAGTTATCTAAAAAAAATCATGAAAAAAATACCAGATTTTAAAAATTCTTTAAAATAAAATGAAACCATAAAAAAAATAATAAAGTACTACAAAAATTTTTAAATCCCGAAATCTATCAGAAAAAAACATTTTGTTCTACAGCCGAAAGAAAAAGTTCAATTTTGTTGAGTAGCGTTATTTCTTTCGGTAACGGAGAAAGCTCTCTCTTTATGCGCATCGTTGGTCGAATTTCGCCCCTCTTGCGCCCCCCTCGCCGCCCTAGATAAGTTAGGCTTAAGAATATGTTTTAACGTGGAAGAAAATAAGTCGGAAAATATCATTGAATTCGAGCGCACGTCCCTTTTTTAGTCACCCTTTTTTTTCGTCTAAATTTATAAAATTTGAAGGAAAAATTAATTTGAAAAAATTTCTAACATTTCATGGCGCCCCCGGGTGGACTAGCAAATTAAATAAAGTTTAAAGGCAGAAAGTGACAGTGACCCGAGTGGTGAAATATATAAAACACATATATTTAATAGTTTAAGTGTATATTATATACACCTGCCCGCGTCGCGTGTGTGTGCAGCAGCAACCCCTTAATATCAAACCTAAAACTACCGCGCCGGTTGGCTAATAAACATACAAAAAATAAATAAATACCTAGCGCTCTCTACCGCCGAGGGATATCAATTCCGAAAGAAGTTTGCTACATGCCAAGAAAAATGGAATTTACCAGGATCCCATATTATATACATTGAGGTATTTGGGCAAAAAAATTGAAATCTCGAGTAAAGAAAAAATCATTAAAATCTCGCATTAAAATCTCATTTGGCATCCACACACTATGTCCGTATTTAACAGATCGCCAAGTGCCTCGATACCCTTTAATCGTCGAGTATATCGGTTTTTTGCGGTATTTGGCATGAACACCCTAGGTCCGTATTAAACCGATCGCCAAGTAGTGCGATAACCTCTAGTCGTCGGGTATATTGTTTTCGACCTCATTTGGGTACATCTTCCTGTTTCGACAATTTGTGCCGCAGCAAATAATAATATCGTGAGAAAAGCCCTGATTAGTGATTCACTTAAGCATCGAGAGTCAATATGAATCCAAAATCAGATCGGAAGCCTATTCTTGAAGTGCTGAAAAAAAAGCTCAGCTCCCGTGTCAAAGGCATTCGCCGGACAAGCGGACCTGCTGGAAGCTGGGGATATTCCGCTGCAGTTGACAGAGCTCGAGTGCA